TATATATATATATATATATACAAATCTATTTGAATAGAGAAGTAAAGTTTGTTACACAAAGTGTAACAAATCCACAAATTTTTTGTCACTCATAATATAGATTCTTAAACTCGTTAAAATTTAACAAACATAATTTTTTCATTTTTTATTTTATAGATAATATATTTAAATGATCATCATTTTAACCTTTATGCAGAACGAGAAAGCCAATATATTGATTCTGAAACATATTTTGAAGCAAAGACTTCAATGAATAATTATAATAAATTCAATTTAAGGACAAGCTGTTTAGAAAAAGAATTGAAAAAATTCTCCTTTTGTAAAAGTTAAATGTAGACCACATTAAAATTACTTATATAATTATATAATTACTATTTACAATTAATGAGTCGTGCTATTGGAATTAGAAAAAAACCAAACTTGTATTTTTTCAATGAAATAAAACACTTTTTTTTCTAATGTTTTTTTACATCTCTAGTTTTAATTAACTTTGAAGTTTTAGTTAACTTATAACTTTTTCGTTAATTGTATATTATGAAAATAGGCCATAATATGTTTATTAAAAAATACCGCGAGACAAATTTTCAATAAAATTTTTGGTACAGGAAAACTTGGTACTTGTTAGCTTACTAAAGAATCTGCAGCCGACGCAGAATGCGCGGGTATAGCACGCCCGAGACATGCTGTACCTACATTATTAAATCGACCGGTGTGTACATGTGGCCTGATATATTTTGTTCACAGGCGGAAGATTCGTAGTTACTTCGCAGGGTGATCTTCACATTAGGGCCGCCAGGCCGGAAGACGGCAGAGCGACGTATTCGTGTTTAACCCTGCACGCCCTGACCAGCGAACGAAGAAAAAGCGAGCCTGCCACCTTAACCGTCACGGGTAACCGCCAGTAACCGGATAAACCCCTTTTGCGAGATAAATATGAAATCAAGATCCGGATTAAAATTTAATTCACTTCCGCGGATTCCGCTGTATAATAGAGTGGCTGTGGGAGAGATTATTCCTTGCCACTCTCGCCCGTCTCCTTTAGATTCATTATCTCCGTTTTATTTGCAGAGCCAACCAGCTCCTCGCCGCCGCGATTGATGCAACGATCTGAAATCGCTATTTCCGCCGAAAGCGGCTCCGACGTTCACCTCACGTGCTCGGCGCAAGGAAGCCCGCCACCGCAATTTACCTGGTATCGCGATGTTAATGGTTGGTTTAATTAGGGGAATGTTTACCGAATAAGCTATGTTAACGGTAACGCCGAACAAACTACCAGCTGTGTTCAAACATCGATTTCTCGATAGTGTGGATACTGTATTACGTTTAAACAACGTTGTCGTGTAATGAATCGTTAAGAAGAAAGAAAAAAAGCGCTTAATAAATGTAACTCTTTAATAATACTTTATATTCATTTAATAATAATAATTTATATTCAGAGGCGCTATCGAACGTTAGTCGTAGAAGAATAAGGATTCTATTTTTTTTTTTCAATCAAAAAGGCTATAAGATATCGAGATTTTCTCTCTCGCTGTTCTGTGAAATACTATCGACATTCAACGCGAATCTAATCTAACGCTGAACGTATCACGCAAATAACTTTGCAGACATGATCGTTAGAGGACAGATACATCCGAGTGTCTTATTGCAGGTCACTCGATACCGGTGGAATCGTTCGGCCGTATCCAGCTTTGGGGTGACTTGATGCAAATTCGTCGCGTAGATGCGCAGGACGCAGGAAGATACGTTTGCCGGGCCAGCAATCAGCTTGGCGAGCAACGAGCGGAGACGCACTTGTCAGTCACATCAAAGCTAAACGCTCGGATTCAGCCGCGTGTGCAGGTACGAGTCTGATTTATGCGGACGGATAATTTCCCTCTTAAATGCATGCCATTTTATATTAGTTTTGACTAAAATAGCATAATAATACAAAAAGATAGGTAGAACTTTGTCACCCACACGGAAAGAACGATTTTGTTGAAAGACCTAAACATTTTGCTAAAAACAGATCTGAAAATAATTTTTTATTGAATCATCAAAATAATTTGTTGGAATGTTAAAACTGATAAGTATTGCTATAAAACGTTTTGATATTCTAGCAAACATTTTGACTTTCGCACAAAATAATTTTGACTATTGAACAAAAATTATTTTCAGATCTGGATTCATCAAAATTGTTCTTTCCGTGCACAAAAAGAATTTCTTTCAAAATTCAAGAATTAACAATATGATAGAAAGAGAAAACTTTTATATCTTGAAAAATTATTAAGTTTATGTCTATATGTATATATACATTGTTTAGTAAAAGTTATTTATTCCACTTACAGATCAAGATCATAGTAGTCTACTTTTATCATAGCGTAATGGAAAACTGGATTAAACTAAATATAATTGTGTTAACTATAATATTTATCATAATTACGTCTACGATAATTAACAATATATCTCTCTCTCTCTCTCACTCTTTCCGATATAAAATTAATATTTGATAAAACAATTGTTAAATAATGTATGTGTGTGATTAACCGCGCTATTAATACATTGCAAATATTAAATATAAACATATATCTATTAAATACATTATTAACTTAACAAAAGCTCTTCCCTCGAGGATATTAATCTTATTGCAGGCTAAGAAAGTGAACATTCATAAACATTAACTGAAAAATCGTACAGATGAACGCAAGTCGGTCCGACTGCGAGATATACAAATATAGATTCGCTTGTCGTAATTCGCAGGTCATTAATTCCGGCGAGACCGCCACGATGAACTGTACGGTCGAAGGATATCCGGTCGAGAGCGTTGAGTGGCTACATGACGGTGTGCCAGTATTGACCGCGCAGGACACGAGGATCAGATTGTTGGCTCCCTTGGTGCTCGTGATAGGCTCCGTTGGTCGCAGGGACAAAGGGATGTATCAGTGTTTGGTGAGGAGCGACAAGGAAAATGCTCAGGCCACCGCCGAACTCAAACTAGGAGGTCAGCGAAGCGCATCATTCGTTTTTAATAAATCCGTTATATCTTCATACTTTCATTTTGCCGTTTCTACCTATTCTAATCACATATATGTATACACACACTTGTACATGTATACCTTCTGCGTATATTAACTTTTTCTTGCTTTTTGTATGTAAATTTCTCTTCCGAAAGAACCGGGCTCCGCGTTCCCGTTTTAAAAACCGAATTTTTGAAAATAAATTTTTAGATACGGTACCGGAACTGCAGTACACGTTTATCGAGCAGGCGCTACGACCGGGCCCGCCGGTCTCCCTGCGATGTTCCGCTACCGGTTCACCGACGCCATCCTTTACGTGGCTACTCGACGGTGAACCACTGAGCCAGATAGCGACTGGGCACAGGTAGATCGTACCTATGTTCTGATGTATTGGTCGATTATGTCGCGCTATCTTCTAATCAGGAACTATACGCGTAGATACGCGATAGGCCAATACGTGGATCAATCCGGTGACGTGATCAGTCACTTAAACATTTCGTCAGCGGGAGCCGAGGATGGTGGCCTGTACGCTTGTGTGGCGTCCAACACTCTGGCAACTGTCGAGCACAAAGCTAGACTGAATATTTACGGTACGATATGCTGATAACAATTTTATTATTACGTGTAAATATAATACAATCATTGGAATGGAAAACTATTTTTAAATACGACAGCATTTCTCACAAATAAACTCGCGGCTAAATTTGTATTTCCATTATATCGACGTAATCAGATGCGCTAAACAGACTTCTATTAAAGTTATATCCGCAAACTATCGAGGATAGTACTATGTAGCATAGATCTACTTTAATCGGGATAGAGAAGGAAGAGAGTCTCGAGTGAGCTCGGAAATTGATTCAGCCTGTGAAAGCGAGTTCAAATCGGGGTAATTCTATAATGAAGAAACCATTTTTATAGGACCGCCGTACATCCGATCGATCGGCCCGGTTCGCGCCATCGCCGGTGTCGACATTACAATAGCGTGTCCTTACTCAGGATATCCGATCACATCGGTCGGATGGACCAGAGGTGGTGCCGAGTTGCCCTTTGACATCAGGCAGCGGGTCGACAGCGAGGGCCACCTTACAATCCTCACGGTAGACCCAAATGACGCCGGTACTTACACGTGTATAGTTCGGGCAAGTTCCGGGGAGACCGCCAATCGAGATATATTGCTGACTGTTAATAGTAAGTGAAAACAAAAAGTAGTCGGCGTGACAGGACAGTGTAGAACTAATTGGGTGGATATTAATAGATTCATATACCTCTGAGCACATTTCAAATATATTTTTAGTTTCTATTTAATAACAGTAAGGTATTTTTTGGTAGAAATATTGTAACATTTTTTTCTCGCTCGAATTTTAGTATGAAAGGATCAATGCCAGGAAAATATAAATTTGAAAAAGATTGCAATATGTATTATGGCGTTATATATTGTTACGTCTTATAGACCCCATGATTCCTTTCTTTCGCGCAATCGCCGATAGGACCATTCTTCAGCGGAAGAGAATAGAAACCGAGCGGAAGTACAGTTACTGATTAGCGGGGAAAGCAATAGTCCCTACGTTTTTTTTTGTTTTATATAAATCTAACTGAACCATGCAGACATTCTTAGTTAAAAAAAAAAACAATCACTGATACTCTAAAATTATTAATCAATAATTATTATTATTACAAACGCATGATATATTTTGAAGAATTGGAAGGCAATTGACTACCTATAATTGTATGGATTTGTTTTAAATAAACGGTGCCAATTGTAGTGAATCCCTAATTTCTAACCACAAAAAAATGTATCGAAAGTATTAAGACATTTATCGGAGCAATTAGCGATAAATTATTAGCCCAAATATAAGAAAATCTTATTATTTTCCTAATAAATCATTTTTTGTTTTATTCGTGTTACAGCACTTTTTACCAATTGTTTCCCCCTCCTATAGTAGAGATATAGAAATTTTTTGACTGATTCTTTCCCCATCGTGCATAGATATATAATTATTTATTTCTTAATGGTATTAGAATATCCAATTAAAGTCTATTGAAAGATTAAAATGTCCAGGATTGGATAAGTTAATATTTTTTAAAATTAAGTTAAATTAAACAGTTAGTCTTAAGAATTTAACTTAGTTAAGCTATAAGTTAATTCACAATAAGATTCACAATAATTAAATTAAAAGTTAAATTAATAAAAAAGTTAAAAATTATTAAATTAAAAGTTGTTAAAATTTTTTTTATTTCATAATTTCAAAGTTTCTAAATAAAGTGTATATTTGTTATACTTATTTCTATCGAAATGCAGAAAGAAAAACGATTTCGAGGGACTTTTTCCAACATTAGAAAGTCCACGAAGGTCCAGCGATTCCTTCCCGTGGTCAGACTATATTTATTATATTATATTAACTTGCCTCAATATGCGTTTTCAAATTCGAGTTTCAAGATATCAACGCAAATGTGTATTTTTTCTTGGGTTTACATAAGAAGTACTAAAAATGTAAATTTTAAGGAAGTTAAACCAAAAGTTAATAGTTACCGATCAAATATAATTAAATTAAGTTAAAAGTTAAGAGTCTAAAACGTAACTAAATTAAGTTAAAATTATTTAACTTTTTAATTTAATTTTTATCTTTTTAACTAGGCACTACCCAACCCTGGAATTCTCTGAACAAGATTCTAATTGGTGTCCTTCGTACAAATGTAACGTTGAACACGCGTACATTTATTCACTTCATATTATACATATTATTATTTAGCTTCTAAAATTTTTGAAGAAATTAGGATTTATATATTAAATTATATATTATATATAATATAATTTATTATATATAACATTATATATAATAATAATTTTTCTCTTTATTTAAGGAAATCTCGTTTTCAATTCTCTGTCATCCAAAATCGCATACAAAGTTCACTTTCAAATAATAAAAATCAAGTTTTTTTATTTAAAATAAAGTACTTACTGATGAGTGCACTCACAGAAAATGTTATCGTATCCTTTCAGAACATTGAGTTACATCTAAAAACTTGTAAGATACTTAACTTGTTCGATTCATGCCACGCATTTCAGAGCGTTGACCTGCAAAAGGATATCTGTGTGAGGATGTCCTTTCATGCTTCACTTCACTTTACCATATCTCCCAAAACAAAAAGGAATCTTGGGGTTTGGACGTATCAGTATAATATAGCAACATGTAACTCTCTTCCGTTTGTGCGTACTTTGCAGGTCCTCCAGTAATGAGTCCCTTCAACTTTCCCGCAAATTCGCAAGAAGGCAGTCGTGCTCAAGTGACCTGTAGCGTAACGTCGGGCGATCTTCCAATCTACATTTCCTGGTTGAAAGACGGCGAGCCACTGCCTTCTTCCCTTCGCGTAAGCATTATCTCTCACTTCACAGAGTTCAGCTCTATACGAAGAATATTCAATCATTTCTACGCTCTTTAATTTCTGTATCTTCAACGACAAAAGATAAAAATGCAAAGCAAACATACGAGTACCACATATTTTATGTGCATAAATTAAAATTAAATTATCATTACGTAGTTTTAAATTAAATGATCTATAAATCTAAAATTTTCAATCTTTTTATATTTTTCTTCAAAAAAGTTTCTCCTCTTGAAAACAAAAACATGTATTTTCTAGAAATAAAAACTCCTGTGAAAGATATTCAGCCTTTGTGAATAATGTTCTTCAAACAAATGGAAATTTAGTAAGAGGAAATTTTTAAAACAGCATAAATTATATATGAGAAAACAGAGATTTTATACAGCCTTACAATATACAGAGGAGAATATCTTTTATTTGTCAAGTTTTCTTCTCTCTGATCTCTCTCTCTCTCTCTCTCTCTCTCTCTCTCTCTCTCTCTCTTTCGAAAATTATTCCAGGTAGCACAAAGTCCAAAATCATCATAAGACTTTATGATGACTTTAAGAGATATATAAAAAACATCTTATGTCCCAATTTCGGACTTTGCGTTGCCTGGGATGTATCTTTTCTACTTCTCTAAATAAAAATAGTGCAAAATATCTCTTTATGTCCCATATAAATCATACTTTCTCTTATCATCGTTTTTTGGTCGTGTAGATCGAAGAGCGAGGCGCCGAGTTTTTCAGCCTCCTCGTCTTCAAGGAGCTGTCGTCGCGGCACAGCGGCAAATACACCTGCGTGGCTACGAATAGCGCCGCGAAGGTCAACCACACGGCCGAACTTTTGGTAAAAGTACCGCCCCAATGGATATTCGAACCGCTAGACGTGGCGACGCTTTTGGGCAATCCGTTAAATGTCCATTGCGAGGCCAAAGGTTTTCCACCGCCGCGTATCACGTGGCTACGTGCCAGGGGCAGAACGTCCAACGACTATCAGCCGCTGGTCGATGGTTCCGATGGTAGACTCACGATATTGCCTAATGGGTCTTTGTGGACGGCTTCCGCCGGTCCGCAGGATGAGGGTTACTATCTTTGTCGGGCTAACAATGGCATCGGATCCGGACTAAGCAAAGTGATATACGTGTCGGTGCATGGTAAGAATACGGCTAGTATTCAAATTAGGTATAATAGATCAATTAACGATAAGGATAAAACGCAAAATCTGAAAATTTAAGTGCAGTGCAAGAAAATCCAATAAAGATGTCTATCGACGCTTCATGAATGTGTATATTTTTTTAAACATAATTAAATAAAAAGAACCAATATAATTTTTGATAATAAAAAAAGCGCGTTTCTGCAACTTTCTTAATAATTAAAATCTCCAAGGATTAATTAGTTTATTTTTATCGAGTAATTTCATTTTAGATAATGATATTATAGAAAATTACAATATTACAGTTTTATTACTATTATATAAACAAGCATGAAATCAAAACTTATAATTTAAAATTATTAAAATTAGAAACACATTTACAGCTCGTGTTTTTAACAAACAAATAAGTAATTTAGACTCGGCCGAGGAACGAGCAAGGTGTGACGTGACATGAAATCACTAAGACACAATATAAAAATTTTAGAAAATTTAATGTCAAAACGTTTCGACTACACGGAGTCTTCCTCAGTTAATATAAATTGATATATAAATAAATTAATAAAAACCATCAATAATTTAAACATTTAAATAAATTATTAAAAATTCATAGAATTAATATAATATTGACTAATTGTAAGTCAATCCATGGAATATTAATTAAGTTGATTCTATGGATTTTTAATAATTTATTTAAATATTTAAATTATTGATGGTTTTTATTAATTTATTTATAACCAATTTATATCAACTGAGGAAGACTCCGTGTAGTCGAAACGTTTTGATATTAAATTTTCTAAAACTTTTATATTGTGTCTTAGTGATTTCATGTCATGTCACATCTTGCTCGTTCCTTGGTCGAGTCTAAATTACTTTTTTTAATTATTTGTTTATAATTTGTATCTTTGCAGAACCGGCGAGATTCGAGTTTCAGAGTAAAAATGTAACAATTCGCCGTGGAGAATCCGTGACTATTGATTGTACTGTGATCGGCGATAATCCTATAGAGGTTCAATGGATGCACAACAGCGATCGATTGGATATGAGCAATCATAGACTAAGCATCGGTCAAATAAAGACTGACAACGGCCTGAAATCCCAATTATCTATCGCAAACAGCGATCGTCAAGATTCCGGAGTCTATAGATGTACCGCTGATAACGCTTACGGAAGAAGCGAGCATCTGATTTATTTAGCAGTCCAAGGTATAAAGTACACATTTCTATCATTGAACTTTTTAATTTCGCGCAGATCTGCTAAGCTAAGTTAATTTTGATTAATACCTGCGTCCTCGAATCGACGTGTGACTCAAGGACGCGTCTAAATCCCCGTTTGTATTTTACAGAGAGGCCGGATCCTCCAGCCGGACTCGAAGTAATAGAGATCGGTTCCCGATCGATACGGTTATTATGGAAGCGAGCCTTCGACGGAAACAGCCCTATAAGAAATTACGTGATACAATACCGCTCGCTGAGCCACGGTATGACCGATGATTGGAATCCCGTTAAAACGCACAATGTCACGTACACGCCAGGAAGCTCCAATAGCGGTAATTCTATACATCCGACTCAAAACGGTATGTCCATATGCTCCGATCGATATCGCGCGGCTCTATTCGTCCTCCCTTCTCGTAACTTGTATCAATTCTAGGCTTATCTCCTTTCGAAACCACCGGCGATGACCAAGAGGTAGCTCTGGTCGGTGGTCTTCATCCGGCGGTCACCTACACCTTCAGGATATTCGCTATAAACTCCATCGACGCGAGCGGACCCACGGAATCTGTCGTAGCGAAGACTCAGGAGGAAGGTAAATCGCCTTGATCGTATGACAATGTGATCGTATAACGCGTATCAAGCTTTGCTGTATTGTATAACATTGTTATCTGTAATAGCACCTACCGAACCGCCGCAAAACATCAAAGTGCAGTCCGCCGGGCCTGGAGAGCTTATGGTTAGTTGGCAAGTAAGTAACGCCGATTTAGAAACTTTAGCATTAATATTCTTAAACTAAATTATATATCTATCACTCTAAGGTTTTAAATGTAAACCAAGTTCCCTTTTTTGGCTGTAAAATCGCTAAAGTGAATAAATATTCTATATCTATCACTCAGGGAAATGTTTCGCTGTTCCAGCTAGAATTCTAAATGTTAACTTAAATTATATCGCTGTTTTTTGTATCTGCTAAAAAATTGTTTGTCATACGTAGAATTTATAGCAGCAATATTCTAAGAATATATGCAAGAAAATATAGATCTCATAATCAAATATGATTGGAGTCTGGACTAATTAAATGTCATAGAGAAATTTTTTTGCTCAATTTGACAAATAGTTCAGATATAATTTCTGTCTCTGTTATCTATATTGATTAAATACAAAACATATGTGGTATCTGTACAGTGTTTACTAATCACTTATCCGTTTTAGCTAATTTTTCGAACATAAATAATTCTTGCTATAATTGCAAGATTACTTTTTTCAGTGTACACGCACAAAGAAAGGATTGGCCAATACGCAGCTAAAATATAGCCGTGGCAGCTAATATGTGTCTTTAAAATAGGGACAGCTAATATCGTTACTGCTAAATTTATTATTTGTTAAAATTTAGACGCTACAGCAAAAAATATTTGCTGCTAAAATCAAATGACGTTTAGCTAATTCTATTGAGGCAATTCTATTATCTGGCAAAACTTTTAAATTTTTTGGCAAAATCATTCTTTTTGAAAGCCCACTTTCTCAGCTACTTCTGTTAAAGTTTTTATTTTACCTAATAAAATTGTATCTCGCAACAAGTATATTTTATCTTTAATAGATAATTTTTAGCAATGACAGCAAAGTTCGAACTTCTATGATATTTAGCTGATAATGCCAAGTCATTTTTTTGCGTGTATATGTAAAAAGTTGAAAAGGAATTTTAAAATACGACATTTATTTATTTATTTATTTTTAGCCACCTCCAAAAGAATCGTGCAACGGGGATTTGCTGGGATACATAGTGACGTGGTCAGAACATTCGTCATCGACTTCGGGTGTCAATCAAAGTAAAAGCTTAACCGTAAATGGTTGGGCGACGACGAAGGTGCAGCTAACTGGTTTGAGAAAATTTACCAAATACGACATTTCGATCAGAGCCTTCAACAGCATAGCCAGTGGACCAGCTAGCGCTCCCATCGTGGGTACTACTCAAGAAGGAGGTATAATAAGAACGAGAATTAATCGTATCTGTATACGAACGAAGCAACAATAATAAGATGTTTATATATAAATCTCCATTCGCACCTTGCTTTCGCAGTACCGGAAACGCCACCGACTCAAGTGACATGTGTCCCACTGTCTTCCCAAAGCGTCAAAGTATCTTGGAGTGCGCCTCCACCTCACCAGCACGGCGGAATTATTCAAGGATATAAAGTCTATTACAGGCCGGTTCCTACTGACAACAGTGAGTCACTCGCTTTTAGAACATTGATGAACAGAAGAAATGTTTGCAAGAGATTGATCTTATAAGGCAATTTGTTAAATATTGAATTAATTTTTTTTTCTTATCACAGTGGATATATCGACGGTTGGCGAAGTTAAAAGAACTTCCAGCATGGACACCTACTTGCACACGTTGTACAAGTACACGAATTATTCCATCAAGGTATTAGCTTACACGGGCGCGGGTGACGGAGCGTTGAGTCCACCGATCTTCTGCATGACTGAAGAGGACGGTAAGATGTTTAATTCAATTTTGATGGATAAGAAAGACTGTTAAGCTCTCAAATTATAAAATAAACAATCCGACATTTCCTTTGCAGTTCCAGGTCCGCCCGCTGGTATTAAAGCATTAGCCCTTACGGCTGAAAGTATATTGGTTTCCTGGTTGCCACCGTTGCAACCTAACGGAAATGTCTCGAAATACACTGTGTACAGCAGAGAAACTGGCTCCAAAAGTCACAACGCCCACACGATGCTCGAACCGCCATCGTCGCCTACGGATACCCTTACGATGGAATTACGAGATCTAGTGGAAAGGTATTACATCGTGCTACAGTAATCATGTAATTTTCTTACAAATCGCTTTCTACGAATCGATTTCTAATCCCTTTAGGCAATTGTACGAGTTCTGGGTGTCGGCAACGACCGGTCTCGGAGAAGGCGAACGAACCACCATAGTTACGCAAACAACGAATACCAGAGGTGCTTGTGAATAACATATCGGAAAATCTGAATGCAAGATTTCAGTATTTAGAATTTTAATTTAATTATTGCATATGATAGACTTTGTCAAATACGATTGACTTATACTTGTATTCTCGTTAAACTTGTCCGTCGTATAATCATAAGAGTATAAAATTTATTCCGTAGCTCCCGCTAGAGTGGCGTCGTTCTCGCAAGTATTAAGAAGAGCTGTAAAATCATCGGTCACGCTGTCGTGTTTAGTGGTTGGAAATCCTACGCCACGACCTATCTGGACATACAAAAACAATCAAATCAGCACAGGCAGACATTACGAGCTTACACACGACGGGCATCTTAATATACGCGGTAGGTGTTATATATTACTTTTTTAATTTATTTATCCCGCTACTCGCGGAATCACTATATCTAGTCTAGACAAGTGTAAAATTAATATTTATAAATTATTATTATTATGGTAATGTTTCTGATCATCTTTTAGGATTGGAGCAATCAGTCGCAGGAAATTACACTTGTTCAGCTAGTAATTTATTCGGCGACGACTCCATCACGTATTCGTTAGTCGTAGTGATGCCGCCCAGAGCACCGTCGTTAGAATTGCAATATACAACAACAAACAGTATCAGATTCCGTTGGAACCATCCTGACAACGGCGGTGCCACGATACAAGGTATCAAAAAAAGCAAAGCATGGCATGTCACGTATGTAGATTTTAGTAAACTACTCTTTTCTTTTCTTTTTTATTTAGGATACGTGTTAAGCTACAAGAGGGATCAGGGCGGATGGGAAGAAATTGCCTTGTCTCCTGAGCAGACGGAATTCGTGCTCTCTGGATTAAAATGTGGTTCTTCCTACTTAGCGCATTTAACAGCACATAATCGTGTCGATACCGGCGATCCGAGTCCACTAATCAGCGCAACAACGAAGGGCACTGGTAAATAAGATATTCTGAGATGAGAAATTAAAATAAGCCATAAGATCTGATCGATTTGACTTAGAATCGAATTCAAGTGTTGATTAACTATACAAACTTTCTTCCTTGAAACAACAATTATTAAGCTTCCCTCTATCTTTTCCAATTCTAGCGCCTCTATTGCCTAAAGAGAGAGATATTATTTCGGCAAACGGCACGTCGGTGAAGTTGAATTTATTATCTTGGCCTAACGGAGGCTGTTCCATTCAATATTACACCGTCGAGTATCGGAGACGAATCAATACGGAACCGTGGATTTTGGTGGCCAGTAGGGCAACCGATAACGTCGTAATTCGTGATTTAAAAACGGCATCGTGGTACAGTTTGCGTTTAACGGCTCACAACGACGCTGGCTCGACTCAGACCCAAATGGAGTTTGCCACGACCACGTTAAGCGGAGTCAGTATCGGTCCGCCCAACGACTTGATAATGGAGGACGAGATCAAGAAGACCGTGCCTAATCACAAAGTTCTATATGTCATCGTACCGCTCATCTGTGCAATCATTTTAATTGTTTCCGCGGTTATCCTGGGATATGTCATGCTTAAACGTAGCGGCAGGTAAAGCGAAATACTTCCTTTCGAAACTCTATTTCTACAACTTTATTTATTTCCCTGGTGATTTTTTTTAGAATGCTTCGTATAATTTTTTTAGAATTTTCCAAAATTTTTGTATAATTTTATAACTTTTTAAAAATTTCTCAGACTTTTCAATGTACGAATTGGAACACTTTTCAGAAATGCTGAGAAAATCACATCTTTTCTAGAATTTTTTATATACGGGAATTCTGAAATATACTCAGATTTCTCATTCTATAATTTTTAAAAAACTTACAAAATCTGAAGAAATTTAAGATATTTTTCAAAAACTTTATAAATTTAAAATATGAAAATTTTTTCACCAGGATTATTACTCGGTCACAGTTAGATTCTTCTTAATTAATTGCTCTTTCAACGTTATTTTTCGACAGAGCGAACTATTTAGGCGAGATATTACCAGGCCAACAGCAGCAACAGCAAGCTGGATTAGGGATAGTTCAACAACAACAGCATCAGCAACAGCATCATCACTTGTCCAGTTGTATGTCGACCGTACAACTCAAATCGACGGCTGAACGAGATAACAGACGTAATCATCAGGTGTACACTAGCTCGCCCGTGAAACAAGAAAATCACAAGTCCGCCGATCACGGATCTGGTATGTGTGTTCGCGGGACAATGACTCGTGCAATTATTCGTGCGTAACGTAAACGCAGCTTCACGTGTGCTCTGTCACTCCTCGCAGAAATGTACGAGATAAGTCCGTACGCCACGTTTAGCGTTCCCGGAAGAGAGAATCGTTCGGTCACAACTGCGACGCTCGATTACACGATGCAGTTCAAGACGTTTGGTCACTTGGAGAACGAGGACATCAATACGATCGATTACGAGAGATCCAGCGTGGAGTTTGAAAGGTAACTGGCTTCCTCCGTCGCTTCTTAAACTCTTGGCTCTTCGTGAAACCGTTCCATTTCCCGTTTGCGCCTTCGTTTTCCTCCTCTTCTCTTCCTCTTTCTGGTGTTCTTTGACGCGCAGGTCGAAAACACCAAGGTGGCACAAGCAACGCTACTTTCCGAGCATCGCGGAAGCCGAGAGCAAGCTGCGATCGAGTCGACAAGGCTCCGGGAGCGACACGTCCGGAAGCCCTTGCGGCGAATGCGCCGGGCCTAGCTATAGAGTGCCAGTAAAGCCTTGTAGAGGTACAATTTATGTATTCTTACTCTCACAATTTTATTGCCAGGGTTGGATAGTGCCTAGTTAAAATGATAAAAGTTAAATTAAAAAGTTAAATAATTTTAACTAAACTTGTTAGTTACATTTATGACTCTTAACTTTTAACATAATTTAGTTACATTTTATCGGTAACTATTAACTTTCGAACCAAATTTCTTGAAGTTACATATTTAGGACTTCTTGTAAATCCAAAATAAAATACATATCTGCATTGACGTCTTCAAACTCAAATTTGAGAACACATCAAGGCAATTGTTATGATATAATAAATATGGTCTGGCCGCGGTAAGGAATCACTGTTCGCGGAACAGTTACTTCTATGCATCAAATCATGTTGAAAGAAGTCCTTCGAAATCAATCCTTTTTCCGTGGCTCGACAGAAATAAGTATAACAAATATACACTTTATTTAGAAACTCTAAAATGATGAAATGAAAAAAATTTAACATTTAACTTTTTAATTACTTTTTTTATTAACTTAACTTTTAATTCAATTAATTTTATTGTAGACTAATTCGTATCTCAACCAAGTTAAATCTTTAAGACTGTTAACTTTAACTTAACTTAGTTAAAACAAAAATTAATTTATCCAACCCTGTTTATGCGGATAAAAGAAATCTCGAAAATAATTGTCAAACAAATCGACTGTGTACGCGAATAAACCCGCACATAATCCTGTATAACGACGTGATTCTTTACAGATGTATTTTCGCGAGGCGTCGAATCGAGTACGGAATCTAACAACGAAGGCTCACCCTCACTCGCGAGACGACGAAGCCGACAGCCGAGCCGGTCTACTCGCAGGTAGCCAAGGTTTGTTTGTTTCCACATAGCACTCAGTCTTGACTATTCGATATCGGCCTCTCATCGTTTTCACATCGACGCAAAAATGAAGCGCAACGACACGAATCATTTAACAGTTAGAATTTTTTTAAGAACATGACAAACATTTATTTTATAATTATACTGAGAGTGACATGTACTCTGAAAATACATGTTTTGATTGTGTATGTTTTATAATACCTAATGTATGATACATTGAATGTTCACATCATTGCGCTTCATTCTGGAGCCTCATATTTTATACGATAAAGGATACCAAACATTTAAGAATTGCTTCTAACAATCGCTGTTATACATAAGAAAATAATCGCATTTTCTAGAAAAAAAACGTAACTAATTGTAAGCCTTCACAAGCTCGACGAAATAATTATCCTTACACGTATAAAAGATGTGTTGTGTGTGTGTGTGTTATATGTACAACCTTACCCTATACCTATATATTTAAATAACGTCAAAGATATTGTTGATGATGATTAATTTGTTGTAATCATCAATGTAAAATATTACTTTACGAATAAGAGATTTGATTACGAAACGGATTGTGAATTAGAGCTGCGTTTCATCAGTTTCTTAATTCAGGTGACGGTGTCACCAAGCTTTAAAGAAAGGTTCTTCTTCTGACTCGACAAATGTATCCACTGATCTGTTTGACAGTTCGGTGGAGGATATGACACTATTGCCGCCAAGCGGGTTCAGTGACAGCCGCGAATTGAGCGACGTGGAGTGCGACCGTGATCGTGATCGCGAACGCGATCGCGAATGGCAAGGTTTATCAGCCGGGACCCGTCACGGCGGCAGTTTGGGCAGACTTCCGATCGAGGCCGTCGAATCTATGCTCGCTAGGTATCGGCACGAGTCCTAGTCTCCGTAAACAGGCATGCCGAGTGTACCAAGCAGCTGAGACCCCGATCTAGTCCCCGGAAATTTATTTGTTTGTATATAGGATGTCTTGACGATTGTTGCTATACGGTAGAATCTGACGAAGAAAAATTGTTTAAACACTGACATTTTTCATATAATATCAATAGTATAATATTTTTTCATATATTATAATAATCAGGATTGCCACAAAAAATGAATTTTGAAATTCCCTGACTTTTCCATGATTTCCAGACACTGTGGAAAATTTTCCATGATCAGTATCAAATATATAATTCTAAATTTTTATGTTTAGAAGATACGAGAAAGGGAAATTATAAGAAAGGTAACTTATATTATTAGAAGCAACATAAATTTAGAAGTTTAATAACATAATATAATTCCAAATGCAAATTTAGGCCAATAAATTATTATTAACATCACTTTATTGCTTTGACTGATATCATGCATTAAGTTACAGAAAAAAATTCCTTTGATATAACTGAATTTTCCGTTGCTTGGGGACCAGACAAAAACTCAGTAAAAGTAAAAAGATTCCTATAGACATTTCTTTAATATTGCTAAATATTCTGAATATTTAGCGAGAAGACAGAGAGAAGTCCTGAACAAAATCGTAATTTTAAAAAATGTGTTCGATTTTTATACAAAATCATTTCATTCTATTATTGTCTATAGTTTAATTCTGAAAAAGAATTTTCAAATAAAAAGCAGTATGTACATACAAAAACATTGTACAGAAATTATTGAGTTTTGTCAATAAAACAAATGATCCCTTTAAGGAAATTGTGAGCAAAGTTAAAATTCCTCTTTTATATCTTTCCCCGACCAATTTAAACTTCCCTGACTTTTCCAGGTTTTCCCGGTTTTCAAGGTCTGTGGCAACCCTGATAATAGTACATTAAGTAGATTATAATTTAATAAAGCCTTTGCTTATCGAGGTAATTAATATCAAATATTCAAGACGAGGTATAAAACATTCTTTAAATCAATTTTAAATATTGACTTGTTTGCGGGAAATTACTATATAATGTAATCGTCTTCGGAATATGAGATAAGAATTAATGATAGAGAGAGAGAGATAATGAATCAAATTAAATATTTTCAAGGACATATGTATTATCTGTTACAGATACCAGCAAAGGAAGGAGCAAGAAAGACAAGAATTCACTATACATGTATGATCGAGATTCGCTGGTTCGACTTGGTATCTTCACCGGACGATTTAACGTTATTTAGAAAGAGATGTCAAACCATCTCTTCTCAAAACCATCCGTCGCCCCGTTGAACAAAAATTTTAATGTGAAGGACAATTTAATTTTGAATGGAAATAGACGAGTGGTAAAAGAGAGATTCTCTCAGGTCCATTTGTGTCAAAGAGGCGTCTCGATATAACTGATCTGCGTTGCACCAAATACTGCCGTTATTATATACAAAACATGGCCTTCGTATATTATCCTGTATGTGCCACGTACGATATATATACATATAAACGCCGAATTTCGAGAAAAAAAAAACACCAAATCCCGTCGGCAATATACACACAATTAAGCAATCAAGAAGTAACGGAAACATTCGATGATTAACTGTAACGGTTTTTGATAGCATTTATTCTTTCTATCACCGAATTACGATTTACAATTACATTGTCTCACCGTACGAAACGTGATTACGATAAAAAAAAAAGTCTGATTGACCGATCCATTATTTTCGCGACGACCAATTACTGATATATATACAGGGTGAACGCCAACTTCCATACGAGTACCTCCGCTTCACTAGTGCGATCTATTTATTACCGAGCTGTTCTATGTATGACTGTAGAAATGACCGTCTATTCGCGGTAATGAATATTGCGTTTTAAAAGATTTAAAAAACGCTGCAACGGCCGCAGTGTTACACGTTATCCCCTTCTCCCCCCGTAAGAAATAGGTCAATTAATTCGAAACTAATGATAGGCATTTATTCGAAATAAAATTGAATTCGTAATTTTGGCAGTCAAAAATTGATTCTCAAATTCCTATCTCAATTTGAAATATTCGAAAGTGCTCCGATTCGACTCCATTTCACGCAATTCAACTACAAAACCGGCTCTCCATTGCATAAACGATTTTTCGAATAATGCCAACTTGATTAGAAATCGTATAGTATTAAGAACGTCACATAAAGAAAAAAAAAACGAAGACTTTATTGGGAAGATAAAGAGGGCTTACGCGTGCTCCTTTCTCTAATTCTAATTGAACGTAATTGTGCGCTATAACAGATAGTATTTACGAATCGATTATCCGAATAAGAAGCGGCTAGCGCCTTAACTATGTAAATAACTGCTCGTTGAGAAACGACACTTATCGATGTGATCGTAACATACGCTAACGATTATGAAATACCACGTGCACAGAGAGTAGTGTGTCCGCAACAGACAAGATCGAGAATCGTATAGCATATAGAGCGATCGAGAAAACTGTAGGCTTCTCGCCGGAGATTCGGTTTCCTTTCGCAGATCTCTCCCGTAACGTGAGACTGATCGTTAACCGAGTACGCTTACATTGATTTCTGCCACGAAGAGTATAAAGGCCGGTCTACATAAGTCGCAACACGCAAAACGCAATTCGCAAACGCAGAGAGAAAAAAAAAGAAAGAAACATAAAAAAAAAGAAAGAAAGAGAGAAACGTCATCTTGCGTTCGCGTTTGCGAATTGCGTTTTGCGTGTTGCGATTTATGTAGACCGGCCTTAAACTGGTTAATCGTCCCAATCGAGCGACACTTCCGATCACGCCAAAATAAAAAAGCAAACGGAACCAGGCGACGCGCAACGTTCTTCTTTTCCCCTTTACTTTTAATAAAATTAAGAGAGACAAAGACTTGCTTAGAATTATTCTTGCGGTTGTTTTTAAGACAGTTGGGACTAAGTCTTGTAGGAATCTCAAGAAAATTCATGACGTATGTCTCTTGTTACTTTATAACGAGTTATTGCGTAGACGTAATTATGTATATAAACGAGATCAGATGATCAGATGAGATAATTTTTCGAGATTTGCGCGTTCGAAATTCGCGCTCATCTCGGAGAATTAAAGAGTTTACGCGAAGTATATCGCAATTCGATATCATATAACGTCATTCTACGAAAGATGGATGAATTGAGGAGAAAGTGTTATACATTCTATAATATCGGATTCTCAGTTTATAATTTATATATTTAAATATTGATATAATTTAAACATCGTCATCAATCTTCTCAACGATTCATCTGCCTTCGACAGAATGAGAGATGTTGGAGTAGTTAGAACAAGCACGAGGTGAAATAATATTGCAGGAGGAGAGCATGCGTGTATCATTTTATTGCAAATTTAATCGCAATCGCAATCGCAAAACTGTCGGTTAAACAAATGCGATACAAACCATTTTGGAGAGAATAAATGTTAATGTGTTAATCCATCGCGCAGATAGAATTGCGAAAAATCAAGACTGTCCGATTAATTAAAGCAAATATGGAACAACACAGAAATTATACATATATACGACGAAAAAAGCTTAGCTAAAGAAAGACCGTTTTGACAACTTCGACGATTCTAAGATTTGTATACGTCAAAGGAACGATCTACCAAGAAATATGTATACACTTACGAAGAAAAAGAAAATAAAAAGAGCAAATTATGATGCGGTAGAACTGCAATACATGGCTGCTTTCTTAAAACCGATAAGAGATTACATCTTTTTGAGGAACATCCTTTAGTATCGTTATTTTACATTTATCACTTCTTTCCCGCAATAGCAAAATCTGTCTGCGAAAATAGATTGTAAAGTGTCTGTTACAATTTTGTGTCGGCAGAAATATAACAAAATTTATTAACAAAATTTGATGACAGAAATTGAAAAGAATCTAGCTTTTGTAACCATTTTATGTTTCGCTTTTCTCTATCTCTTTAATGGCTTTAATTTCTTAGTATCAAAATCATCAATGTAAGCGGAATCGCGGGTTAAATGCAAAATATAATTAAATACGAAGTTATTTATTATTTTATATTTAAATGGCGCCAGAAGGATTTACTGCCAATTTCAATAATCTCACATAAATAAACATTTTTACAAATATTTATAATCTCTTAAATAAAACAAACATTATATTCCTTTTTATTAAAATATCGTAATTTTAATACAACAACAAAATAATGAATTGCAATATAGCTAAAAGAATAAATAATATATAAATATACATAATTCAAACCTAAATAAATAGTATAAATACGTAAAAATAAAAACTTATAATATAAAATATATATTATATATTTAATATAAGCAAATATATTGCGCATTAAACTTTCCTCCATGGAAATGTTAAAGCAATATGAGGTATCCGATAAAGATCTTTCAATATACGTTTATCACGCAATAACTTTATCATTACATGCTCATTAATTATTTTAACAGTTGGCTATTCTTTTTATTTATGTTATCAGATTTGCATTAACAAGTTTCTTTGTAAACTTAATTTGCATTAGCATTAATAATTTTATAAAAATTTTTATGACTGTCAAATTTTACACGCGGTTATAATAATATATAATATAAAAAATAAAAAATTTTATTAATTATTATTAGCCTGATAATTTTTAAGGACTACATATTGATGTGTTCAAATATATGTATCTGCAATATCTTTTATTTAAAACTTTGCTTCTATTATTATTTTTTATGTTTGACTATTTATTATATACTATTGTAAGTGATAATTATACAGAAAAAAGAACATTTATAGTAAAATACACGTAAAAATATTGCATTTTTATTTATTGAGTAGCGTCTATAATACATATAATAATATATATAAATATAATAAAAAATTATAAAAATTACTAAACATTGTAAATTATAATATTAGGTATATATGTAGGTGTACATATATGTATATGTATATCTCTCAATAATGAAAAAAATTTTGATAATTATCTATACTCTTCAAAATAACTATTAAAAATTATCAACTATAGATATTTTATCGTGACTATCAACGGATCTCAGAAGCAGAGAGAAGCATGAGACCGGCCATCCCGGCCTTTTACGTGGGACCATCAGAACCACCGCTATTATATCGATTTTTGAAATGGGTATTACGTAGCTACATCCATTTTCAGACATTGTCGATAAAATTATAACCAAAAATTGATATAATTACGTAAATTATACCTATTTGAAAAAATGGATGTAATTTTTGTATAGCAGAATTCTCACGGTCCCACGTAAAAAGCCGGAACGACCGGTCTCATGCTTCTCTCTGGACTGGCGATACTATAGGTAAATTCCATGAGGAGATTGCCGATATTACCAATTGTTTTTAGCTAATAATATGCTATTATAATATTATTTTTTGATCTTCTCTCTTGTATTTTTTAATACGTTCGCATAAAAATAAAAATAGAAAATATTCGATACTTAAAAATATAAATAAATAAAAATAAATTTATTTTAATTATATTAAAATAGAAAACATATTTGCTTTTTACATTTTTAATGTTTTTTCTTTAGATTATTAAATTATTCCAATTTCTAGTTCTTATCAGAAAGAAGTATCTTTCCGTCGCTTTCCGTCCGTCTGTCTTGAGTCTTTTTCACTCTGTATCTGTTTCTCAATCCCCGTCTTTCTTTTTCTTTCTATTTCTCACAAAACTTCATATTACATAAATTAATTATATATTTTTTTTAATTAGAGATTTTAATACGTACATATTATACGTTATATGTTAATAAGTTGATATCATAAAAAGTATCGTCTTAATATACAATGTAACATATCGTTAGATATGTTAGATATGTTAGGTATGAACAAAGGAAAAGATTTGTCATAATATAGTGAATCATAATATAGTTTACTGATTAAATATTCTTACATGGTTGCGTGTTATCCAGGAGTCGGTCGTATTTAAAATAATATTATTTAAAATATGTATTTTAAATAAAAAAACGTAAAAGAGTTATTTAGTATT